TAAACAGATATAAATTTACCCCCTCTTATGCCTGATGGGGATAGAAACTTTAGTGGCTCTTTAGTTTTCGATTTTAGAAAATAATGACGTCATATGAAAACGATCTATACTACTAATATTAATAACTAACTTTGATTTAAAACTATCTACGCACGTTTTATTCACAATATCCTCAGGAAGTGAGTTCCAGAAGAAAGAAAACTTAAAAATGTCTTTCTTTGCTCTAGGAACTACAAACTTAAAGGCGTGGCTCCCACGGGTTCCTCTTTCATTATTTGGTTTTAGTTGAGCCTCTACTAAAAATTCCGTCAGATTGTGGGAGAGTTTGTACATAAAAGATAGTCTGGCGGTTTTCCTGCTAGTGGCTAGGGTTCCTGAAGCATTTCTGTCACGCTTGCGTAAGGGTTGCACCTGCTCTCGCAGAATCGCGCTGCCTTTCTCTAAACTCTCTCCAGCTTTTGAATATACTTCTCGCAATGGGATCACATGCGTCACTTCCATATTCAAGGGTTGGTCGAACTAAGGTTTCTCTTGCTGATTTGGGACAGTTATGTAAGTTCCGCCGCACAACGCCATGTACTTTAGATGCTTTCCTTGAGACTGTCGATACGTGTTGATTCCATTTCGGTTTACTTGTTAACGTTATTCCCAGATAGGTAATGTTCTCAACTTGCTCCATTTCATCTCCGCAAAATGTATATTTAATGACAGGTGGAGATCTCTTATCTGGAATGCACAATACCTTGCATTTTGATGGATTGAATTGCATTTGCCACTGATTTTGCCATTGTTCGAGTTTCTGAAGGTCTTCTAGTAGGAGATCACAATCTTTATCGTTTGCAATGATACCATAGAGTAAAGCATCATCTGCGACAAGTTTAAAGAAGCACTGTAGATTATCAGGAAGATCGTTAATATATAGCAAGAACAATAGGGGGTCAAGCACAGTCCCTTGGGGAACTCCAGATGTCACAGGAGAAGATCTTAAAGATTGACCTTCGCAAACGACGGATTGAGAACGTTGGGTGAGGAAGGATTCAAACCAGCAAAGTTAACTTGCCATGGATTCCGTAATATCGTAATTTTGCTAGGAGTTGCCGATGGGAAACCTTGTTGAAGGCTTTCGCGAAATCCAATACCACAGTGTGCACAGATTTGCCATTATCGAGTGAATTTGTCAAGCCATGTTAAAATGAGCTGAGATTCGGTTGATCTTTTGGCCCTGAATCCGTGTTGGCAGTCAGTAAGAATGTCATTCAGGTACAGGTATTTCATCACATGGCTATGGATTATGCGTTCGAGTATCTTGGATGCGATACAAGTTAAGGAAATCGGTCTGTAGTTCGCAGGGTCTGACTTTTTGCGTTTATTAAAGACTGCACATACATTGGCGTATCTCCATTTCAGTGGGACAGTTCCAGTGTTTATAGAGTCTTGGTAGATGTCTGTTAAGATAGGTGAGATCTCTTTTGGGTACTCTTTAAGAAACCACGAAGGACTATTGTCCGGGTCGCATGCCTTGTTGTCATTCAGCGAGGTTAGCTGTTTGGTGATACCAGAGATGGTGATTTTAAGAGGACTTATGCCTGGCCTTAGCTCGTTTCCTACACTCGGAGGATCTGAGTCAGTTACATTCGTAAAAACAGAAGAGAATTGTTCGGCAAAAAATTTTCGCTTTAGACTCTCCGTCGCTAAATATTGTACCTTCGATCACGAGGTCAGCTTTTTGCCTCAGTTGTTTCACGTAGGTCCAGAAACGCTTTGGATTTTCTTCAATAGCTTCACTAACAAGATTTAGCAGAGCTACCTGGCGGGCATGGTTTTGCGAAATCGTTCAGTTATACATTATGTATACTGTAATATACTTTTTTTTATGATAACTGCAGAAATCCTCGTGCCCCCATTGGATCCACAGCTACTTTGACAATGTTATGACGAAATTCATGATCAATAACAGGACAGACGCATGAAAAACTGACGTTGATTTGTTAAGTTGACTTAGTTTGCGTGCGCTTATGGAGACCGTAGTCAAAGAAGGCGTCTTTCTTCCCTTTCTATCTCAGTCTAGCTGACGCCACGAAGCAGTGACTAGTCGCATCCTCAGGGACCCAGAGGGAGTTAGTCGGCAAGAGAAAAAACACTCGGGATAAAATTGGCGAGACCACAGCCTGTTCTAGAAAGGTGGAAGAAGAAGCTTGTTTCGTAGCTCTTGAAAACTTTGGTTCGCCGATATTTGCCTAGGATTCTGTGCAGATGTTTTTCTCCGTAGAGGTAGCGAGGGAGGAGATAGTTTTATTTCATTGGAGGCATTTTTGCTTTATTTCCTTGTTGAAGAAGGAGGGAAAACGTCACGTAACATGCACTGGTTAATTCTCGGCTTTTCTTTCTGGGCTCTTTTTTCTCGCCTGTTCTTTTTTTGCTAATCCTGCTACCCTTTCTCTCTCCCCAATTCGGCACCAGTCTTCACGATACCTAAAGAGACGAGTCAGAAAAAACATGCAGGAGAATGAGCA